AGCTGCCACGGGTTGTGTGCCAGGTCCTCTCCGGCAGCGGCTCTTCACCTCTTTGGATTTTGTTTCTCTGGGTTTTTCGTGAAAAGCCGTGGATTTTGTCAGCTGGGTGGTTGATCAGGACAAACGTGGGGGTGCAAAGCCAAAGGGCAAGCGCTGCAGCCGAGCCCCCCACGCCCTCCGAAGCGTGGCCTTTGATGGAGATGCTAAATGGTTCCTGCAGGCATCTCCTGGCAGGCACGGCTGCCTGCAGCTGGGCTGGGGCTACCCGGCCTGCCCAAGCAGGGTGGTAACTCACACTCACCCCGACATCGCTTCTGTCGCGGTGTTTTATGGCCAACGGAGGGTAAGCTGGTTCTGGAGCGCTCCTGGGAGGACGGGGACGCTGAGCACGTGGCAGCCACGAAGGCGGTGATGGCAGGGGTCTGACCTGCTGACTCAGAAGTATGGGAGCTGGTGCTCCACACATGGTTTTTAAGTAGTTTTGGAATTACTTTGCCTCTGCCTCATCTACCAGTGATGCGATGCGTATTTTGTAAGAGCTTAAAATATGTCAGCAAGACTTGGCCCTCGTGTGTTTACTCACACTTCCCCAGTAAATTACACAAAGCCAACAACAGGAGGGACATGGTGGAGGAGACCTCTGTTTGACTTCTGCTGGGGAAGAAACCCAAGCCGCTGCAGAGCAAGGACTTAGTTTTCAATCAAAAGTAGGACCGAGCACATCACCAAACCTCGGGCTCTCGTTGGTTCTGCAGTTGCAAGAGTGCCCTCAGCATCCCTTTGCACCCAGCCAGCTCCCACGGGCTTCCCACGGGAGCACGGAGGAGACTCTGACCTCCAGAAAAGCAGAGGGAAATGCAGCCAGCCAGTGCTGCTGAAGGAGAGGGGTGGGAATAACAACATGGTGAGCATGAAAACACCCCTCTGAGATGCCTTTTCTCATTCTTTTGAGGAATGGGAGACCCTGTCTTGCAGGAAATGGTTCACGTTATTGTAAGGATAACTTTGTGCTCGTTTAATTTCCTGAACTGGGGCACTGCTGGGTCAGGTTGATCCCAAAACTGGTATAAAGGGAGCTGGAGGAGGATGCGAGATCACGCATGGCAAGTGGTGTTTGTTGGGGTTTTTTTCCTTGCATTTCACAGAAAGATGGGATCTGAAAGATGCAAGCACAGCAAATGTTCAGAGCAGCTATCCTTCTGCTTGGTTATTTTTTAATGTTAACATTCAAGCAATTTCAAAGCTTCCTTTGAAATTGTCCTTCTAGTAAGAGAGAGTCTTTTGTTCCCCTTTCTCTTACCAAGTCGGTTTAGTAGGCAAACTTGTTTCGTCTACCATAACGTCCAAGAGGAAGTGAGTAACAGAGATGGTGACATCTCCCGTGGGAGATTCTTGGAATCCAGAACAAATGCAGATCACCGAGAGATGGGTAAGAAATATGTAGAAATGCCCCAAATCCAGCTAAGGTGCAGGAGTAATTTTTAAGTTCGTACAGCAACAGTATGCGAGAACTTATCATCATTTCTGAAGAGATCCCGAAAAAGACCGATCTAGGCACTAGAAAACATCACACATGAAGAAAGACCGAGGGGATTGGCCTTGTTTGGGAGATGTGTAACACACGAGGCGCGGAGGAGAATGAGCGCTCTCTCTGCACAGGACCTGAGGTTTTGGCTCACTCCCTAAACAGTGGCAGGGAGTGAGGCAGGAGCCCGCAGGAACTTTGGCCAAGTGAGGGATGACTCGGAGCCCAGGGCTTGGTGGGGGCTGCAGCTCCGGGCAGCGGGAGGACAGCAGTTTCTCTCGGCTGTTACAAAAGCAGGATGTGACTGATAAGGTGCCATTGCCACACGCTCTGGCCAAAGCCAGAGGCAGTGGTGGGAGGTTTGCGAGCGAGCCTCAGAAGCCCTGAGCCTTCCTAGCAGAGCTCTGCAAATGCTGTATGCCTTTGAGTAGGTCTCACCTGCATGTGGAGTATTTTCACTGAAGGCTTCCTTCTCATAATAAGAAGGGAAACGGGTTTTGCAAAATTGGTTAGGGATTTTTTTTTTTCTTCCCTGCCCATCTTTCTCTGTTTTCATCTTAGAAACCTGTTGTGCTGTATTATGCAAAGGACTAAAACACCCCCTCTGCCTCCTGGGTGTGTGCAAATGGCCGCTCTGCTGGGGTGAGTGGGGTTCGGGGCCAGGAGCTGAGGACAACCTCCACCAGCCCCAACTGCTGCGAGACGGCCGCTAGCTGGAGGTGACTTCCTTGGCGAGCTCCTCTCTGTTGTATGGGCCGGTCCCATTCCTGGGCTTCGCTGCTGGAGGTCTTGCCTACACCATGCCGGTGGATTTTGGCTGTGCCAGGAACCATGTGCCTGCCGTACCAAGCTCAGGCTCTGCTGTGCGGTGGGATTGTGTGCGTTCTCCTGCAGAGCTGGTGCCCGAGGACCTAAGGCTGCTCTGGACTCGCTCAGCCGGGGGTGCTTGCTCCCTGGTGTGGTATTTATATTGTCCATGAAACCGAGCAAGGCAGGATCTGGAGGAGAAAACCTAGATTGACTTTTTACCTTTCTACCAGTTAACGGAAGAGGTGCTGTCCTGCAAATTTTGCACTACTACCCCCTCGTTGGTGCATGTCTTTTAGTGCATCTCTGAACGCAGATGCAGAAGACATGAATGTTTTTATGTAAATATTTCTAAATACATCATAGCCTAGCCCAAGGGGAAAACAGAAAACCTTAAGGTCATGCTTCTTGTTGCCTTCGTTTACCTAATGCCACCTAGAGGCAGCTGACCTGCTTTGACATTGGTTGGTTTGGAAAATGTTTTTCACTTATCTGGGATTACAGGTTTGTTTTGGTTTTTGTTTTTTTTTTTAAATGAGGATCCAAAAAAAGGTTACTACTGAAGCTGTTGGCTTACTGATTGCCGAGTGAAGGCAGTGCATCAGGAACACTTTGGTTCGAGCCGTCTGAAGGCACTACCTCTGCTTTTGCAAAGCAACGACATGGGTAACGAACAGGAGAATGTCCTTCAGATGTCGGAGAGCTTGGCATCAGGCCCTTCAGAAGTTCAAGCCGAGTACGTGTGCCATTAGTGATGATGAATGCACACAGTCAGCCCACCCACAGGAGAAGCCCAGGACTGTATCTGTGCTTAAATTATTATTAAAACCAACGATTACACATTTAGTCTCTTGGAGCTGGGGCAGGCAGAGACACAAACAAAAGCCCACCTGTGAAATCAGGAGCTGCGAGGCCATTACCCTTTTCCTTCTTTTGTTCTTGAGAAAGCATCTAGCATTAATGGTGGTGATGATGATCCTGTGCTCTGGCTACAATTTTAGCCTAGGCAGAGACATCTGTAGTAGTTCTGGTTTGGAACAGTTCTTCTTGTTTAAATATGTAGCTGAAATAACCTCAGATTTTCTAGTTGGATGAAGCTGCGCAGGTATTGCCGTTACATACAGGTACAAGTAACTGCTAGAAAGCAAGCCTATTGAGAAAAATAATAGTGGGGAGAAGTTTTACGACTTTTCTACTGTTCATCCTGGAATAGCAGCCTGCGGAAACTTCAAAGGCATTTCAGACATGGAGTAAATATTCAGTGACAATTTATTGTCTGGTCTTTATTATTATTACAAAAAAAAAGCGGATATCAAAAACCAGCAAAGATTTCACAAGTTCCCCAGCAATTTTACACAACTGAACTGCAGTAAAATGATGAACGTAAAACACACGTATTTCAGTCCTGGCCCTGAACCTTCAACGGTGATCTGTGGTCCGGGATGCCCTGGGCTTTCCTAATTCGTTTTTAAGTACTCCTCTTTATTTTGGAACCTGATTCACCCACTAGCTAACACGCTGTGACACAATACAACAGGAATGTGAACTGTCTAGTATCCTTTAAGACCGTATATATCTAGAAAACAAAATATGGGAGCTTTGCAAGGATGGCACTGATACCAGTATGCATTTCTCAGATTACCCCAGGCAGCCACTATGTTGTGCTTGACAAAAATCAAATCACTTTCAAGTTGCTAAAATGCAATTTGTTGTATGAAAGCTGCTTTTTCTTCTTCTCTTCAGGATCTTTGCTTCCCAAAATAATAAAAAAAAACCAGTTCACTGGGCTGGGCTCCAGCATAAATGGACCATCAACTTTTTAGATTCTACCATCCAAACTGCATGACAGACAACTTCATCCCATTGTGACTTTCCCGCTGCGGACCCAGCGTTTGACTGATGAGGAGGAACCGGAACAGGCCGCGAGATGTGAAGTTAAGGAAAATGCTCGGCTCTCTGGAATGATAATCAGGGTTGGAAGGGAGCCTTTGCTTTCTGTCCTATTCACGGCTGTAGATTCAGAGGTTGACCAAAGGAAACATGGTCCAGTTACCTGTATTAATAGCTGCCCCACTTCTCAAATATAGATCTTGCATTGAAATACTGCTTGGCTAGTGAAAAGAATTAAGACATTGCCCTACGTCCCTCAGCATTTGCTCGGAAAGTCAGGTCCAAATCTGCCACAATTGTACACAAATGCAAATCACCCTAAACATCAAGTTGTATATGTTGCTATACGTGTCACTGAAATGTTCGCGAGTACCAAATATTCCTGTTAGAAATAAAATTGCACCTTCATAATTTTCCAGAATTGAACAAAAAAAGAAATCACGATATGCATTATTTGTCAGGTATGAAAGAAGCAGCGAGAAGGCAAGCTGAGAGACAGGCGCTGCCTACAGGGCAGCAATGGCGTTTGGTTGGGGTTTGTACCAGCATTTCCCACGCTGTGGATGGCAGATAACCACTCGCTGCTGGATTTAAACCGTTTTCCTGGCAGTCAAAACGCGGACAATGGACCCCACTCCTCCAGCAGCCAGGGCCTGGGAAGAGAAACGTGGTAATTAACACCAGGTCAAGGTAGCTACGGGCTGAAACAACTGCTGATCGGAGAGGCTTCCCGACTGTATTTCAAATGAGCATCTCCTCACTGTTTACGTTAAAAACAAAACAGTGGTGCCAGGAAAGGATTAGAGCGAACGCGATCAAGACAGCTATTTAACGAGCTTTTATTTCCCTGCATAACCAAGTTGCAAACTTTGCTTTCCTCTAGGAAGAAAATTCTACTTCCACCTGCCTGAATCACATGACTGAACCATTTCGTATGTCTCAGTCTAACAGAAAATCAAATTTTAACTGTAGAACCTTTACCCAAGGAATCAGAATAAGCAGGCAGATGATGTGACTCAGCTGTGAGCTTTCAGGACCGTACCCTCCTCATGGTGTGAAATACGGCATTTCAGTTTTACCAGACAAAGCTGGTTCTTACCAGGCTCAGTGAGCATGCCTCAGACCCAAAAACCTGCTACCGTGGATAACCTAGGCAAGTGCACGCCCTATAAACGCACCTTCTCGTGCCACTGCAGCAGCACAGCACTGCTGTTGTCAGAGGGGCTCTCAAAGCCTTTGTAGATGTACTTCATTAGCAGGTCAACACCGTTCTTGTCCAGCGACTGCACCGCCTTCTCGATATCGTTGGCTTTGAAAGAGATGAGGACCTTCAGGACAATACTTTCTGCACGATCCTGTCAACAAACAAGGAAGGCAGAGAAAACAGTCATTCTCCTGTAAGGTGCGTTCAAGTATTATTTGTCTCTCCAACAAACAAAACTGGCTATTTTTTTTTTAAAACAACCGTAAAATCTGTTTGAATAGGGCAGTTTGTGCACAAATCTTATGATAATAATGTACAACAGATAAGTCCTCCCAATGATAAAGAGCATAAAAGAGTTCAACATGTTTATCCTGCTCTAAGTTTTCTGCCTCTCCGCTTGTGTTTGCAATTCTCCACTTATTAAATAAGGTTACAGCTAGAGACTAAATTTTCGTATCAAAACTCAAGGTCTGGCAAGCTCCAAAAGAACTGTAAGAATTAAGTACTTGTCTGGCCTCCCTTGCCACCAGAGCCTTTTCCATGCCTTTGTACTATTTAATGAGACAACACTATTCTGTTCCATGGAAATGCCATTGGCCAGCCTGGAAGAGGTGACTGCTGGAAGCCGCATGTTTTCCAGTCAACTTGTGTCCCAGGCACACAGGATGCAAACTGGCAGCATTAATATTTTGCATTAATAACTATTTGCAAGTTGATCTGGAAGTGATTTCAGGCCCAGGAATGCGTATGGCATGATTACAGCGGCAGATTAGCCATGTAATCAGCAAAAAGCAGCTCTTCCTGTTCATCCATCGCTAACTGAGGGAGGGTGAAAGAAAAAGGTCTCAGGTTTGTTGGGAATTTAAATAATTCCACTACACAAATACTTCAAGCAGCTTCCTTCTTCAGAAATGATGGATGATAGTTTTCTTGTTGAATTTAATATCCCATAGCTGCTTGGCTTAGCAACACTCCTCACATGAAGAACTGTAAGTAACACCATAAAAGTTCCAGGAGATCAACTAAAAATGAAAGCAAACGTATTAAAATTCAGTCACTCTGCCCTCTTCAATTCCATTGCCTCCAAAGTGTATTCTCCAATCTATCAATACAGAGCTAACAGAAACAAGCCATTAATGTGAGGACAAAGCTGTTCACTCTCTAATACAGCACTATCTGTAACAAACAGCTGGGTCTCAAAACCCTGTGAAACTCCTCAGGAAAGGTGAAAAAAATCGCCGCTGGTGAGGACAGCCTGGTGCCAGAGCAGCACAGAAACGTTCCCCGGGGGACATTTCTCCCCCTTAAGCGGGGAGAACAGATCTCTCCGCATGTGCTCACCAGCTGGGCAGTTCCACCTCTTATCTGCCTCTTCCTCTCGTCACTGCAATTGTGAGCCATTCAAGGTTTATTCTGGGGAGATTCAGAAATACAGGCACGCAGCAGGCTCCTATATTCTGTCACAGGGGGAGTGCTTGCATTTTCTGAGGTTTTTAACAGCTTAATTTTGATTGGATGCAATAACCATTGGTTCTTCCTTTTTTGTAGGTTCACAGGCTGGCTGTACTAGCAGAGTTTCATTAGTCAGAGGTGACTATTGAAGTTGTGGTTCCTTGATTGCTCAGTACTGACTACGTCTACGTGCTGCTGCTAGGTCTGGATCAGACGCAGGCACCGGGTGATGCGTGGAGTTAGCCAGGACACAAAACATACCACCAACATGGGTAGCAAAACACACAAAACCTGAACCAGCACCAAGCTAAAGGTATGTGGACAGATGACATCAGAACTAAGGTATTTCGAACAAGGTTAAAACAGCGGTCTTAGATGTTTCGACATCAGGGAGTACCCTAAAAGCAGCTTCCTTGGCTTCCTCAAAGCACACCTGGCAGGGTTGGCGGGGCAGGGGCTACAGAAAGAGGAAAGCATTTTTAAGGAGTAACCCATGAATGAATTTATTATTTTACCTTCACTGCCTGGTTCTTTGTGTTGATAGGAGGGTTCTTCAGAGCCGCCTGTAGTGCAGCCATCATGTTCCCTGTGCCAGACAGTTAAGGACCAGACACCAAGTCTTTGTAAAGCAACAGAACCAGCTCCAGGACAGTGATACTGGTAGCTGGCTTGTGCATGACTGAAGATACTTAAGGTTCAGTGGATGGAACGATTCCCTCAACAGATAGCAGAGATTGCAGTGTAAGGTAGCACTTATGAGGCCATTTGAGGAAGAAGCAGCACCAGCAGGAAGCTGTACAGTTCCAGTATTGGAGAATACTTCTTAGGCCCTTTGTTGAATGAGGATCCAAATAAAAGAAATTATTCTCCATCACTTCTGTAATTTGTAGCCCTCAAGAACAGGCCTCAGCACAGCACACCCACCTCCCAACAGCCATCGGGAAAGCCGGCAGTGGCAGCGGGCACACAGAGCCCTCCTTTCCG